CCAGAGAAAATAGGACAGACAGTATTTTTCTGGTCTGGAACGGACTGCGCTGGTGTGAACAGAGGCCAGAAACAGCATAGGCATACATTAGGATGCATTTTGGGTCCGGAAACAATCTGGTCTGGAGATGATCCAGACATGGTTTGAATGGGCCCTCATTGGTCGTCCTTGATACATTAAAACTTTACACTAAAGGTGTTTTCTCAAACCTCCTCTGGGGAATGCAACCTACATTCACAGCCAACAAAGTACTACCATTGTGACACGGTTATAAAATATTTGGAACAGCCTCTCTAGCCCCCCCTGCCTTGCAGCATTGCCTACTATAACCTGGAAGGGCATTTTAAAATCTAACATTTGCAGGTAAACATATTAATGCAAAGGCTCAGGCAACATTAAATGACAGGTCAAACTTAAAGTATAGGTGAACCCAATGACTATAATCTTACGATAAAATTTACAATGCTAATGTGATTTTAAAAACTATGAAAGTCTTTGTTCAGGGACTTCCTGCTATAGGTGACCCCTCTCCTAAATCAGCTACTGCAGTGTCACCTTGTCACATGTGCTGCCAAAAGAAACCACAAGGGCCTGTGTGTTCCATTGGGAAACTCTACCTCAGAAAAACTATGCAAATATCACTGTAGTGCGTGTAGACAAGAAGCAGCTACAGAGGAGCAGCAGCACTGAGATGAAACAAAGGGTTAAATATTTTATTCCAAAAAGCCAGTGCTTCAGGTAAACTAAATGTTCAGTTTGGGTTTCCAACAACTTTAACATGACCAAAAACAGACTTAATGTGTTATAAATATATACTTTATATGATGTATTACCTATTCAAAGGCCAACTTTTCCATTAGGGTACTTACAGACACCAGAGAATGTTTGCCAGTGCCTGAATCTTCTGGGGGATGTGTATATGTACTGTGGGTTTTTTTTAGATAGTCATTATTCTTTTTCCTAGTAAAACCCAGGGTGTCTCAAACATTCTGTAGTGTAGGTTTGTGTAAAGATCCTTAATTAAAAATATAGCTTGGATCATGGATACAACTAGAAATCACAGGAGGAAGGAAGTTGCTAGCAGAGTTGTGTTGTCTGTGTAAAAACGTTACTAGGAAATGCATAGTGCCATTGGTCACCGCTAGAGCAATTTAAAAAAAAAAAACCATGGTTCTGTCTAAAAGCCCGCATGAACCCTCAGTATTTATAACTGTAATGCAGTCAGGGTACACATATACAGTTGTAAATATGCCACTTACAGCTTTTTTTTTAGCTCGGAAGTGCTGTAGCACAGGTTAAAATGTGCTGTGCTGGCAGTACCAAGGAGAGTCCAACAGCTGCTCTCACAAGCAAGCAATAGCTCAAATCTCTAGCAGTTCATCACACTCCCTGAGCAGAGCAGTGTCAAGGGAAGTGTGTCAGACCACTGGAGACCCAGGCTGTTGTATCTGTCAGGGACCTGCAGTCGGAAAAAGCTGTCAGCTTCATGTCTGAAGCTGACAGCTTTTTCTCCATTCAGATCGGCATCTAACAGGTTACACAGCAGGGAAATCCTCCACGCTGTGTAACCTGTCATGGACGGAGCGCCTCAGCAGTGAGGGACGGGGAGGCTCCTCCCTTCCTCCTTTACACTAGCTTGGGGACGGGCTGGGCTTCGTCTGACAGGGGGCGGGACGTGCTGGGGAATGCCTCACTAGGAACAAGAGGTACCGCACGTCACTGGTATCTGTGACACAGCTGTGGGTCCTACTTTCCAAGGTGTTGCCAGCACAGAATATTGTAACCCTTGCTACAACATTTAGTTGCCAAAAAAACTCAAAACCTAAAAGAGCAGCATATTTATTGCTGTATATGCCTGACTGTGGTACAATAGAGTTTCAATGGGCTTTAGATATACTAAACTGTAAAAACCTGTGTTAAGCACTCAAACCGTTATGTTGCATCTTACCCAGACCATAAGCTTTTTCATAGGTTCTCTTTTACATTACATTGTTTCTTCTGCAGTTACAGCTTGGGCTGAATACATTGGTAGTAGTACATTCCCCATTTTTACTGAGCTGAGAATTATCTGGTGTCCACAATTCTTTCTGGTGATGTTATGAGAAAATACATAAACCTACACCACCAATGTCCTCCTTTCCCACAAGAACTTCATTCGAATTCTGATAGACTACTAGGTACAAATATTACAGGACTCTGAACTGCCCTATATAGATGTCTTTTACTCGCCCTTAATACATTCATCATCTCTCACTTTAGTAGAACTAAAGCTCACAGAAAATACAACTGTTTTGGAAAGCGTCATGTGAACAGGTATGTATTTTAGAATAAAAAAGCACCCATCAAGACCCTGGAGTCTGCCCACTGCACAACTTCTGGAAACACTGCTAGTTCTGCTGCAGAGGGGAGCCAGGTAAAAGTTGGTAAGTAGTAGCCTCCAGCCGTGGATGGGAGCCTCTCCAGTGATGGGAAGCTAACACGTTTCCTGGAGTACTCCTTCACTGTGTCGATTTTGACTCTTCTGGTGTGTGTGACCCATTAGGGCCAAGCTTCGCAGACAGATTTAGTCACGCTGTAGTGCAATCTAAATTCATCAACAGCTAAACAGGTTTAGTTAGGTTTGGGTCATCTCAAATCAAATATACCATTAGGGCTGTATACATTTATAAGTAGCATTAAATATTTGAAAATGCAATATTTAGAAAAGAAAAATCTGAAATAAAAGCTACTATTCTCTGATAAGATGCATACTTATCGGTAAGAAAGCCGAGTCTATTCCGGCTTTACTGCAAACGATGCTCCTGTTATAGGTAGAACCTGCTGGTCTGTGGCTTTTGCATCTCTTGCAGACCCGTGCATTGAAATCTCTTTCCTAGTGCTTAGCTCTGGCCCAGCTCACTTCAGAGTTTGGTGTGCTCCAACCCACCGTTACACATTAGCATACCTTGTACTGTATTTGCTAAGGATGCATTGATACTACCAATACTGGGCCTTTTCACAAGTACTCGTGAAAATGCCCTGATACTAAGTGCCGATAACAAGGTTTTAAATTCCCTGCACAGCATCCTGAGACCCCACAGAGCCTACCTAAGATCCTCTGCTGGTAACATCTGTCTGGCACCCCACAACACCATAGAGTATGTAGCTTCATATTATACTGCATTGACGTATAATGCATTGCTAGGATGTGTAGTCCTCTATAGCCAGATGTCATTCAGCATTGCTGTATAATGTATCGCTGGGCTCTGTAGTCCCTCTACAGCTTGAAGTCAGAGGCAGGACTACCATGGGTACATGTGTTTGCAGCAGTGACAGGGCCCTGGCACTTCACCACTTTCCTGAAATCATTAGTCTGTATTGTCTGAAATCATTAGTCTGTATTGTTTTAGAAAAAAATGTCAAAACACTAATAAAAGTATTTGTAACTGGTATCGGCAAGAGCTTGGCGTCAACTACCATCGTTCCAATTTTAGTTTATGTGCTGCCGTAGGTAGTTGATGCCAAGCTGTGATTTTACCTGCATGTCAGGCAACAGATTCCGGGTCAATGGAAACTAACAGCGCTACATGTGGCCGAATTACAACACACAACAAGCTATTGGGACGCTGTTGAACGAAAGGAATTGGAGACGGCAACCCGCAAATGCAGCAGTGCCGTCCGTCCGTTTTTTTACTACGGGCGGACGGCAAGAGGTTAAAGTGAAAATTGTTTTCTTGCCGACGGCTCCATAAAACAACGAGTGGTGGAGTGATTTGACTCCCTGAACCTATCCGATCTGCAACGTCACGGCACCTGTGAGTACCTCCATTTACACACTGTATGGTTAAATACTTTTTCCATGTGTGATAAAACTCCAGGCGATACTGTTTAGCAGACCTGGAAGGACTGTATCAATTGATGTTACGCCTGATGAGGCAACCTGCACCTTATCAACTTGTTTCACATCTATAGCCGCGGCTACAAAGTTACAACCATTCATATTACCCTCCTTGTGAACGAATAGACTTCCAAATCCAGCGGAGAAGTTTAAGCTATCAAACTGCCATCCCATAGCTTACTTATCTACTATATCTCATTCTGAGACACATTACACATTGCTGTCCTCTAGCGCTTTTTGCTCTATACATTTTTTTGAGCAGTACCGGTCAAACATATGCTGATCAGCTTGTCGCAGTATGCATGGTTTTTTTGGAGTGAGTGATTTGGTTGATTGACCAATTTAATAGGGTGTACTGGTGGTGGCCAGTAGGTGTGTGTTTTTTGTGAATCATTAGTTTTAAAATATTGAATACAATTTACATTTTTGTACCGTACCAGGCATTCCGATCCTCATTGCACTGCCTATTGATTTGACCCTCTTTTGGTCATTTCACCTTCTGTTTTATAGTTACCCACAGTAGAGGATTGTTTTGATTGCCCATGGTCGATTATACCCTCTGCACTTATGGTGAACAAAAAAAAAAAAAATGTTTAATTGTGGGTGTGGACTCTGGGTATCACCCATCTTTGTCCACAGAGCGCTGCTTCCCTGATATCCAGACAGGGGAGTGCACTCCCTGTATAGCTCACATGCACTTTTGAGGGACAGCACAGGAGCAGGGAGGAGAAATGAGGTGCAGCACAGCAGTGGCTAGCCACACATCTATCTCTTTCTATGGATGCATGTAGGTGCCAGCCAGCACACCAAAAGGTGGCTCCATGGCACCCTATAAGGGCATAGAACAACCTGCAAACAGTACCCAGCGAGAACAGAATTTTGAGAGAAAGAATGCCAAGCAAGCAAACGCTGAAAAAGAAAACCACCCTGAAAAGATGTAAGTGCTGAGGTCTGCAGCACTATGTTTTTTTTATGTCTGGATTGAAAGAGACTGTGTTACTTTATATAGGTTCTGGTAAAATACCTTTTTGTGTCGACATAACACTCATCAGTTGTCCTGGCTTAAATAAGGCATAATAACCATTTTTACATGACACACATTTCTAATGAATAGGCCTGTTAATATGTGATCAAGACAGTACAACTCAGGATGGGTTCAGAGCCACTTTAAATTGTTCGGTTTCTCTCCACAGATTACATTTAGCCATTTTCAGTAGCAAAGAAATTTGATACGCAAAAAGAAACAAATTCAACCGCATCAGTCTTACAGTCTTCACCCAAAGAAAATCTGCACATTGCTGAAGATGGTCATTATTGTGCCATACTAGTCTATGTCCCAGGGCCTGCTCTTGGTATGTGAATGGATCCACAGTGGTCAGATAAGAGCCGGAATTATTTTTTCATCGATCCAGTGAGCGCTTCTGAATGGCTTCACAGCAGGCATTTCTGAGCAGATTGATCACACTGCGCGGGTCATCACTTTTCATAACTGCACTGCCAGATACGATCATATTTGCTCCAGCCTGTTAAAAAATATGACATTATTAGTAAGTCAACATGTGGGACATATGCTAACAACTTTCCCAGTACAGGTAAGGGGGCCATAAGAAACCAGATCAAAAAGCCACGCCATTCATTTTATTTTAATTATGGAAGATTATTAAAAATGATCAGTGTAGTGAGGTATTACAGAAGGATTCTAACACCATGACTACATGGCCACTATTGACTTCAATGCTCCGCCCCTGAACGCAGGCCGACTTGCGTTTCAGAGGCCGAACGCTCTGGAACGCAGCTTTTGTGGTGTGAACCGCCCTTAGGCTGGACTTACACCAGTTTTTTCCAGCAGAGCCCCAAGGCAATACAAGGAAATTTACCTGGTTTTCAAAGGGCTCAGTTCTAAAAAGAATTTAAAAAATGTATACAGTGTAATGTGCTGGAATAGGTGCATCAGCACTGTGCCTGGTAACGTGCACCAGCAGCTGGGCGTTGTAGCCCTAACTGCTGATGTAGCCAAGGTTATGTATACACTAAAATGGTATGCAGCTGAGGGTGAGGGAGCTGGAGAAGGATTTGGGAATATTGGTTAAAAGCAAGCTTAGCAGTACAACTCAGTGCCAATCACCAGCTGTATAGGACAGCAAAAAAAACATATTTGAAAACCGTACCCTTTTGCTTGGCTTTATTAAACAATTTAGCATTTTAACCCTTTCACTGCCAATAATATGTACTACACAGCATGGCATTGAAAGGTTTAAAACAAGTTCACGGCAGCCATGAGCTTGTTTCAGAATTTACGAGCAGAGTCTATTAAGTAAACACGCCCGATCAATTCTATGGGCGACAGAAGTGGTACCTATAAGCCCCTTTGTGATAGCAATACAGTCAAGGTAAAGAAAAACCCAGTAAAATAAATACATAAACAAAATTAAAGGCGGGAAATTAAGTGAAAACATGCAATATACACACAATACAATGTAATCTGCTATAATTACATATATGTATCAAACTATTTCACTTCAATTTTGTCCGTAGAGCTTTGTCCCGTGCCCTGCCTGCACTTTTACTGTTCTTTCTGCCTGGAAACTTGAGAACGTCCATGGCATCCAAAAAGCGTCCCTTTAGGTCAAAAGCGGTTTTAGACCAGCTAAAAACAGCGATAGTAAATTAGAATCACTTGCAGTATTGAGCTATAGCGATTCGTTGGGAAATTCGTCATCAGACACTGAAAGTGACGATTCTGCGACCGTGATGTGCGAACTTGGTACTCTATTGACTGTGGTATGGATCAGGCAGCGCCCCCAGAATTCCTATTTACTGGACCATTTTTTTATTATTATATTATCATTTCTTAGATTTATTATATTATAATTTTTAAATTTCGTGTTTCAAACTTTATCATACCCGGGATGTCTACTAGACTCTTGTTTGGACAGATTTAGGTGAGTTATTCCCCTAAGATTTACGGGCCTACAATATAAAACAACAAATTTCCATGCAAAACAATGTACCGCTTTGGCATGCAAAAATACTGCATAATCATACCGCCAGGGAGGTTAAAGGCCTGACATAAAACATTATTAGTCTGTCTATAACCTTTCATATTTTTACCTCAGCACATCTGTGTATATTGTCTGGTCCAACACCACCATCAACCTCTATATCCAGTGAAGGGAACTGTGACCTTAACCACTGCACCTGCAGGGGAGAGTACAAACAGAAAAAAAGCAGTAGTAGCAAGAAACCATAGGATCAACCATGGAACAGTGAAACAATGCCTGTAAAAATGGGTAACATGATGCAAAATAAAGAATTGCAAAACATGGTAACAAGAGAACCTGTCAGGCTTTTCATAGAAGAAAACAGAAGGTTTATATCTCAAACAAGGTTGTCAGTTCAGTGCACGGAATGTTACAAGCACACTGGGTTTTAACAGGATCAGCTGACATTTTTATGTACTTGCAGAAAATGTACTTGCCATTAAAAAATAAAACTAATGAAGGAACACATCCACTGCAAAGCTGCAATATATAAAATATCTATTTTTGTTCTCAGATGCGCTTTTATTCCTTGCCTAACAGTCCCAGCACTTCAGAACAAGCAATGTTACAAGTAATAGATAGGACAAATTCTGCGGTCATAATTATGAAGGAGGCATCACCTTGTGCACAAAAAAGTCCAATACCTAGAGCCATTGATACATTGCAAAACATGACCCACTCTGAATGAGGCCTTAGAGCTATAGGTTTTTTTTTCATCATCATTTATTATGGTAAGTTTTTGCTTTCCTTTAATGCTCTCACAAAGGTCAATTTGGAAGGCTTGTTACTCACTGCAAATGGAAATGTTTTAATGTCCCACAGCCTTGGATAAAAATGTACACATGCTCTGAAAAAATGGAATCTGAAAGTCTGATTCTGATTCATGGCTGTGGGGCAATAAGCACAATTCCTAGACAATTTTGATTTATAAGGTCCACTGTGATGTGCTAAATTACAGCTGAATCACAATCTCTTCCACAGGGCAATCTGGCAGGGCTGCAGAAGTAACAGGAAAACCAGCTATATACAGAACTAGAGAAGAAACTTCAGAAGTGGACCAAGTACAGCATCTTTCCACATTGACCTCCTCTTTCCCTTTTTATGTAAATTAGTAAGTGGCAGTTCATTTTACCTTTGGCATCATGTCATCCATGAACTTCTGACCTCCAAATCCAGGCTCCACAGTCATAACCAAGGCCATATCAATCTGACCTGCCCATGGTGCAAGAAACTCCACTGTAGTATTTGGTTTTATAGCCAATCCCACCTGTGAAAAGTGAAAAAAAAAAAAAAAAGGGAGGAGTCCTGTTAAAGTTGACCTATACCCCTTTCACAAAAAAAAAAAAAAATCACATGCTGATAAATCATCTTGCATTCATTAGTTAAAATGTTTTTGTTTTACTTACAATTACAGTAACGCCATTATTTTCGAGATTCAAGTAACCGGCAAAAAAAAAAAAGATAGGGCATAATATGTCCTCCATTTTTTCTGCCAGCTGCTTGATAGACATGTGCACACCAAAAAATTGTTAGCAACTAAAGTTATTTAGTTGCCAACAAAATCCTTTGTTTACATCTTGCTGCTGGCTGGCTGCTAGATTCTGCTGTGGGCAGATGAATGTACACAACGGGGAGCAACAGCCAGCCTGCTATTGGCTATTTCAAATTTCAATAGCCAATAGCTTCCCTCAGGTCTGCCCCTCTGCTCGGCGGACACCAAGCAACCAGAAACTAAAGTTATACGACATACTGCACTGGTGATGTAACCCGGGCCTCACAGATGCACTAGTGGCTTCCTGGGAAAGCTCATCTGTAAACTATAAAACCTCCCTTAAATGTGCAATGTCGCATGTTCCAGGAGGCAGACCTAGAGTTCCAGGAAGTAAAGGGAGATGGATTTATCTGCCCCTATTGAAAATGGCTACTGTGAGAAGAATGGGAAGGAAAAGAAATATAAGCTAGGCAAAGAATAATAACCCTGCAATTACCTATAAGTATCTTTTTGTAGATTGCCATTACTAAATATTTTTAAAGCTGCCTTTGTTGTCACTTTTTAGGAAAAGGGTGAAGTTCCTCTTTAGGACATTGCATTAGACATTGTAAAACTACAAAATGATATTAAAAAGGAGAAGTATTGGGAGAGTAAAATGTACTCTTCCCAAAACTTAAAACCGGCGTGTGGCACTGCAGCTGTCACATGCTGGCTCTATATACCAAAGAGGTGAGCAATCACGAACCGATGGAACCCTCAGCTCAGGGCTTCTCCCTGCAGAGTGCAGTAACCGACAGTCACCACTCCCTGCACGGATTTCCCCCCTCTCCTCTCTGTTCCTCCAGTACTTATTGGGAGGAATAGACAGGGGAGGGGACGGCAGAGCCAGCAGTCAATAAGGCACTGGGGTGGATGCCGACAAAATTATCGTGATCGTGTCCGGCTGCAGTGCAGCTCTGTGCGGTCACAATGTGCTACTGAATTTCTTAAGAGTTAAAGCGTGTATGTACTTTTGGCCACCTTTCACCCCCCAAGAGCTTTCTCGCATAGTTTAAAAATCTCTCGGGTAGAGATTTACTGCCCAGCACACCCAGGATAAGAAAGTGCATGACCATACACATGTGATGGGCTCAGCGATACAGTACAACTAATACTGCTGCATCTGAAACAAGTGTGAGGGCAGAAGTATGGGTTGCAAGTATGATGGAGCTGGAATTTGTTCACAATGACTGGACCTGTGCACGCAAGCAATAAGACTGCATCTGAGGTATATGTTTTATGGCTAGCCACGATGAGGGGACACAGTTGGGTGGGCCGTGGGAGACAGGGTGTTTACAATTGAACATTTATCTTAAAAGGAAAACTACTTTTTGTGCATATTCTGTGGCTACCATTGTCCCAGCAGGATAAACAGAAAACTAAAAGGAACTTCCTTTACATAAAGACATTAGTGTGCGTTTCTCCCACCTCAGAGTCCCTGCTTTTATCTACATTCAGTTGGTCTGCTGAAGATGCCATTAGGATGAATGAGCAACCCATCTTCTGAGGGCTCCCTCTAGCCCTTGGATCAAAAGACTGGCTGAGCAGAATTAGTACGTACATACAATATATAAGACATACACATGTATTTTAACCAGGTGTTTAGAGTTACGTCTGGAGCTCAGCTTTAAAGTGTATTTTCACTTGTGCAGCCAAAATTAGGAAAGCAAATATTTTATGTTTGTTACATGCTACCATTCACACAACAGAACTGAAAAAGAAATAAAAACTGCTGCCTTCATTTTTAAGTGCTTTATATTTGCTTAAAAATCATATGTAGCATCTTTTCTGTTAGCTGTACTGTTAAGGAGGGGGCTGTGGGAAGTTATGTTTACTATAATTAACCCTGTCTGCACTGTGCTGGCAGAACTCAACAGTTGTAAACTAGGATTTGAACACTGTCTGTCCTAATAAAGGGTTAAATATTTAGAAGCATTTTAGTTTCAAACTGCACAGAGTAACCTGGAATCAGCACAAAAGCCTTGAGCAAAGCTAGAAACTAAAACATACAGGGTTATTCATAAAAGGGTGAAGAGTTTGGAGAAGGCAGGAGAAGGGAACAATCTAGGACAACATAGCTGATTTGGAAAGATTCTGCAAATTCAGCTCACTTTACAGTTCAGCTATGTTGTCCTAGATGGTTCACTTCTCCTGCCCTCTCCAAACTCTTCACCCTTTTATGAATAACCCTGTAAGATCTTTTTTTATTATTATTATTAGGTATGCGGTGTGAATGGGAACACACAGCAGATCCAAGTTGGTAACCTCACCTTTTTCTGCTGCAGCTAAGCAATAGGACCTGGTCACCTTCCACCCCTGCCTGTGAACTGCTTGGCTTTTAGTAGGTGCCTACACAATAACACCAGAAGCATGCGACTATTGTGTCAGCCCCATACAAGACAAGCAGTGGTAAGCAATGTTGAACACAAACATTATGTTTAAATATTTGCAGTCAACTTTTTCAGACCTGCAATGTAGACAAAAGTTAACATTATCCCATAATAAGGACTGACCTATGTGCACTAGCCTCATGTCTCACTCACCTTCATGCCACTTTCTCGTATGTCTTTAATGAGAATTCCGGGGTTTTCTGTAGCCTCCAGGTGAAAGGTGTACTGATTCGCACCGGCAGCTGCCATAGGTTTCACCCACTGCTCTGGCTTAGCCACCATCATGTGCATGTCTTGTCATTGTAAAAAGAAAACATAGGATCCAGTTAGTTTAAAAAGCTATTTCAATTACTTCACTAGTTTATATTAAAGGAGAACTATGAGGTGAGTGAAAATCAATGAAACTGTCACACGTCAGCTCAATAGATCGGGAAGTGAGCGAACACATACCGCTCGCTCACGTCTCGATCATCTCCCTGCAGAGATTCCACACCTCCCCGCTCTGATCCTCCAGCGCTGACAGGGAGGGTACAGCTGGCTACCCCTCTAGATAGGCAGAGCCAGCTGTCACTCACGCAGCTGGGTGGATCTCGACCAGGGGAGGCAGAGCCTCACTTAGTGTTATGCAGGAAAAAACTGTTAGCTTAAGCTGACAGCTTTTTCTCCATTCAGATCGGTTTCTATGAGGTTACACAGCAGGGAAAGCCTCCCCGCTGTGTAACCTGTCATGGATGGAGCGCTGCCTGTTAATTACAGTCAGCGCTGCATCCGGCTTTTGACAGATAGATAGGTTACACAGCAGCGGGCTTCCCCACTGCTTGTGTAACCTAATTTGGTGAAGCAAGAGCTGTCAAAGCCTCTAATCTGTGTTAGAAGCGTGAGCTCTATGGATGGCTTGGAACAATGGCAAAGCGCCATTGGTCCACGCTGTCCAATTAAAAAAAACCAAAACACAGAGGCCATCGATCTCGATGCCTCAGCAGTAACGAGCAAGTGAGGGACAGGGAAGCTCTTCCCTGTCTCCTCCCTTCCTCCCCCAGATGCCTCACCCAGCCCAGAAGGCACCGCACTGATCTCGACAGCATTGTCGGGATCCATGTTGGCTGCGGCGGTCTCCGTATACTGTGAGCTGTAGCTCACTATATACTAGCGTCCTCCCGTGACCCAAAGCTCAGTAGATGTCCTCTCGTGACCCTTAAAGGAGAACTATGAGGCGGGTGCTTTTCACTCACCTCATAGTTCTAGCCGACCTGTGACAATGAGACTGTCACAGGTCGGCTCAGTAGATCGGGAGGTGAGCGAACACATACCGGCGTTCGCTCACTTCTCGATCCTGTCACAGCTCTCTGCCGTGACAGGAGAGTGGCTGGATTCCCCCCTCCCTGATCCACCAGCGCTGACTGGCGGAACGGACAGGGGAGGGGGCGGGTACAGCTGGCTCTGCCTCTAGATAGGCAGAGCCAGCTGTCAGTCACGCAGCTGGGCGGATCCCGGAATAATTGTCGGGATCCGCTTCAGCTGCGGCGTCTCAGTATACCGCGAGCAGCAGCTCGCGGTATACTGAGCTTAGGGTGACGGGAGGACGCTAGTTTGTGTCCTCCCGTTACCCTAAGGAGAACTATGGGGAAAACCACTTACCCCATAGTTCTCTTAACTTTAATTATACTCCCTGCTCTGTGCACTCCAGTATGAAATATGATAGTAGATCTACAACATGTATTGAAGACATATGTAACAATTGTTAAAACTGTGGACTTTACCAAAGAATGGGTCGTTTCCAAGTTGCTTGCGTAGGCATTCTACCACCGGATGTCCAAATGTGATGTTAGGAACAAAATGTCTGAAACAAGAAGGAGAGCATTGTAAATTCAGAGTACCACAAACAAGTTTTTTTGTTTTTTTTATTACACTATTGCCTATGCTGTCTCTTCACTTTCCTCTTACCATATTTAACCTACATTGTTATCAAAATGATGTGCTGTATTTCAGGGAAACCTGTAGGGAGAGATATTAGTAAGCGTCCATGCTGCTCTCCTTCTGATTTTGGGTGAGGAAAAAAAAAAAAAAGAGAGCAAGTTAGGTCAGTACTCCTGGTCTATATACTTGTGTAAGCCACTTGACCAGAATGACAACCAGACAACTAGCATTTGCAGGACAGTTCAACAAGTAAACTCCACATTCTCTTGGTATAGACAGATATTATTTAACAAATAGCATGGTGCATCTACATTTCTGAGGAAAGACCTTGGTGACCGGCTGCTCGGACACTGTATATTGCATAGTGGGAGTTAGGGAGAAGGTCACATGTTCCCCCATACATAAAGTAATAGATATTTCCAAAGGGCTTTGCTGTAACTCAGGGAAGCAGAAGAGCATGGTGGATGCAAGTATTAGCAGTAGAGGAGTTGGGTTTTAAAGAGAATTTTTGACATTGTCCCGAATAGGCAAAGTGGCAGATTTACGTTAAAGCCGTAGTCTTTTTTTTATGGCTAGTTATGTGTAATTGTGAGTGCATCGAATCTCCTGCAGGCTGCTACTTGTAAAGATCCGCCCCTTCATGCCACCAGATATTTCCCTGAGTGGCTAACTTCCGGTGCATTACGCGTTAACAGCAGCGATGGGTAGCGTAATAGAATTCAGGTCCTCGCCTATCCTTTTATGCCCTCTCCTCCATTTAGAGAACCTGTACAACTATTTTCCCACAATGCATCACATTCTGAGAAATAGCTACTACCTTACAAGCTGATTGGGCCTCCAACTACTTTCTCTCTACATTGGAATTACAGTATTTTGAAGCTTTTTGCCTTGACATTGATAAATTGCTTAGGTTGTTTTTATGTGGTGGGTGTTTTTTTTTTAAATGTTAGAGAACTATGGGGTCAGGGCTTTTCCCCATAGTTCTCCTAAGGGTAACGGGAGGACACAAACTAGCATTCTCCAGTCACCCAAAGCTCAGTATATAGCGAGCTACAGCTCGCGGTATACTGAGATGCCGCAGCCGGGACGGATCCCGACAATACTGTCTGGATCCACCCAGCTGTGAGTGACAGCTGGCTCTGCCTATCTCTGCCCCCTCCCCGGTCCGCCAGTCATGAGGTTTGGACAGGGGAATCCCTGCAGGGAGCCGTGAGTGACAGTCACGGCTCTCTGCAGGGACAAGATCGAGGAGTGAGCGACGGTATGTGTTCGCTCACTTCCCGATCTATTGAGCCGACCTGTGACAGTTTCATTTCATTGTCACAGGTCGGCTAGAACTATGAGGCTGAGTAATTTTCACTCGCCTCATAGTTCTCCTTTAAATATAAAGAGGGGGGGTTAACTGCTCATTTTGGTCTAGTGATGAAAATAAAGGTAATATACTCACCCGATTCTCGGTCCTGTCTTGCTGTTAGGCTGGTCTCCGCAGCTTCTCCCCCGAGCTCCGGCAATCTAGGGATTTGTGACGACATCACGTCTAATACAAGCGCATTTGAGGTGAGGCCACTGAGGGACATACCACAGCCGGAGCAGAGAGAGGAGGCGAGCGGTCACTGCCGCAGGACCGAGGATCAGGTGAGTATTTCTTTTATCTTCACTCCTAGACCAAAATCTGCTGATGGGCACAAAGTCAAGTGGTGACCCATCCCAAACACATCCACAACACAATTTGGGTCCCGTCTTATAGTGTAAAACCCTGGTGTACGTCAAACCAAAAACATTTTTGTCTTCGTTTGGGAGCAGGAAAGGATGAAAGCCCTTGTCTGGCTTTTACTGCCTTCTGGGGCTCCGTTAACCAGGAAGGAAATAGGGGACACAGCAGAAAAAAAAACCTGACCGGATTCTTGCCTTCCCTAAATCTACTAGTATTTGTTGGTGTTGCTGATGGAGAGTTCACCTCATTTCCTGTCAGGTAAGACAGACGAGACCAGAAAATAAGGGAAATCTCTAACGGAGCCCACAGATAGCAGTGAAAACCTTACAGGGGTCTAAACCTTCCAAACTCTATCCAAAATGAACAAAAAAAAAAATCTTTGGCTTGACATAGACTTTTAAACGACATTTTCAAACTTAAATTGGTTGGCCAAGGGGTGTTAGGCACTGCCATAGACAGGACATTGTCACCCGTTTTGGCTTACAATTATCACAAGCCTATGCCATCTTAGAGAGACCGTCAATGGGAGGCTGCTGTTGCTATGTGCTGGCACCTCATACAACTAGCATTTTATCCATTTATCAGAACCATACTAGCCGGTTACCTGTCATATGTCCTCAAAGCATCACAGAAGGAAGTATGCATCAATACATCCAGAAGAACAAACATTCCATTGTTAAAAGCAGATGATACAGCACGTCCATGACAAACTGCGCCAGTACGACATTGTCTTTTCTATACTACTTGCATAGACCTTCACTAAACAGCCAGTTGAAAGTGTGAGAAGCATATGACTGGAAACTGCTCTATTATGTTACATACTCCATGTCTCCTTGTCTAATGACCCATTTCCATTTATCCTTATTACCATGGCACATCCGGAATACACCAGTACAAAAAAACCTACTCTGAGCATATATGTCCATTTCAAACTGATCATTTGTAAATGTGGTTGAAGCATCTGTAAAAAGACCATACAATAGTCCAGGGCTGGACAAATCCCGGGACCAAGGTGGCCATTGTGCCTTAAAAGTCACAGCTGGCACCTAACTTTTGAGGTTCTCTCTAGTTGTTGTCAATTGAGCTGGCTCCTAAAAAGGAAAAGATCCTGCTGGCTCCTGGATTGGACAGACTGGCGCCTGAATTCCATATTCGTTTGTTCGCCCCTTCAATAGTCTGATATGCTTTAGGTTTTTTTTTTTACCACTAACTCTCTAACATAACAGGACCAGTGCTCAAAGCTGTTTTTTAACATCTCTTCTGAAAAGGATCTGTAACATTTTAAAATATCTAGTTTGTAGCAGGTTATGATGTTTTCCCAATACAGACGCTCCTCGGTTTCTGGAAAATCCATTACCCGAAAATATTGTATACTGAGTGTACTTGTGTACTGCGGCGGCCAGCAGCAGACAGTACACAATGGGAATCAATAGCCAGACTGCTATAGGCTATTTCAAATTGCAAAAGCCAATAGCAGGCTGGCTATTGAATCCACGCCCACTAAGAGGACAAGTGGACCTGAGAGAGAAAGTTCTCTCTTAGGTCCGCTCTACTGCTCAGTGGGCGGGTGCAATAGCCAACCTGCTATTGCAATCTGAAATAGCCTATAGCAGTCTGGCTATTGATCCCGGCTCTTTACATTCACCTGCCCACAGCGGTAGCGAGCTGTCAGGTAAATGGGGAAGCAGTGCGCCTTGGGGCTGGTTGCTTGAGAGTTATTAACTACAAGGAGGAGTTTTAACCTATAAGAAGCGCTATGAGACACAAGGGTCTGAACACGGAGGTGAGAGGCTTATTTATCGGAGCACTGGTGTTTTTTATGAGCACTCCAGCAAAAAAATACACAAGAAATTACAAGAACGGGCAGAGTGACGCACAAAGAAAACTAAGACAACACTTTTTTTTCTTTGAGAGAGAGCTGCCTGCTTTTAATGAATTTATGAACACTTTGTTTCAAAATATGCGTTTTATATACTGGCACAGGACGTTTGCTACTTTATTAGTCATTTGGCGTTTTTTTTAGATTATCACCTTGTGAGTCACACAAACAGTTGACTAGAAGATTTAATTTTGAAAATATATATGCTCTTTCTTTCACTGTAGTATTGTTCACTATAATATTTGGTTTTTGCACATATTATTTGTTTACTTGTTGGGTGATAGCGCCGCTTCACATATTTGGATGATATATCCCAATATAACCTTGGTTCTCAACTGGTGGGTCGTGACCCAAAAGTGGGTCGCCACATGCCTTTTACTTTTCTAAGTGAGAGGCTCCTCAGCCTCCTCCTAGCGCAGCACTGTCAGTTCTTGCGCGACAAACAGCCATTTAAAATCTGCTGCCTGGTGCAGTGTCAGCACGAGGTGGGATGGACTGGGGCTATGGCCATGAGGAGTGCATCCATACGTACAGCTCCCTCATGTGTCCTGTAGAGGTGCCTGGACCAGAGTAATAAAGAGTTATGGACACCGGCACTCCAAAGTAGAAAAACGTCTTTTATTGACGCATCATGCAACAATACACTTATTGCAGCGTTTCGGGGCCACACAGGATCCCCTTCATCAGGCAGAACAAGTGAACATTACAAACAGATATGGACAAGCATTTATACACATCCTTGTATGTGAGGAGACCAATACCACTGCCCAAAAGTGATCCAATGATGTCATTTCCCGCCAAAATTCAAAATACAGTGTTGCTGTATGCATAGAAAGATTGCTCAAAACATAATTCATGGGTTGTGTCGTGTTAATGCTGCTAAGTCTGGGACCAGAGTAATGTCACATTCTGGTTCCTGGCACCTCTACAAGGCATGCAAAGGGAGCTCTACATGCAATGCACCTATGGATGAAGCTCTGTCACAGAACAGCAGCCCACAATGGACCCTAGGCTGAGGATCAACTCCAGTTCTTGTAAGGTATGGAGACTGGGTGGATCTTTTGAATGGTACCCCAAACGCACCTCCCACCCGCAGTTCGATCGCTCGAAATGCGCGGGACCACAATATTGTGCGTTCCATTGCAGTGCGACTTGGGTCGCGACTGAATGACCGAGGACAAATGTGGGTCCTGAGGTTACACAGGTTGAGAACCACTGCAATATAAGATTATAGCGCCACCTAGTGGCAGACTAAACTTTCCTTGTATAAAGCTGGCCATTCCCTGCTAGATATTTTCATACAAACTGCGGGCTGAATGAAAAGAAATAACAGATTCCTCCAGCAGCGCTAAACAGCATGAAAGGACGAATCTCCTGCTGGGCTATTGTATTCTGACAGCGGTAGGAGTGCCCATCAGAATACCCGAACAGTGACGGCAGCTGATTGTTTGGCCAAAAGATTGGTTGCACATCCTGATCTTTCTGCCCCCCTCCCGAAGTGACCGAGGCGGCCGCCTCTTCTGTACACTCCCTAGCCCGGCTCTGACTAGAACTACGAGTTGAAGTGGTGATCGGTGTTGAACTGTGCACATAGCGGATACTCGCAGGTGTAAGGGTACAGCAGGACACTGATTGTGATCAGTCACGTCTCAATAGTGTTTCATCTTTTCTTCTCTGGGACATTTCAACAAGGAATCTGATTGGTCATTAAGAGTGACTACACTTGTATTCCTTTTTTTTTTTTTCTTTCTTTCACAAACGTTTTATTGTTTTCAGGTAGACATCAAATCAAAAAGGAAGCATATGTAGTTGTGCTGACGCAACAGCGAGTGTACATCAAGGATAAAGCAGAGGGGGGAAGTATAAAGTATATATAGACTCTCTTGGGTCAGGTGGGCACCATGGAGGACGATCAAAAAACCTAGAAAATTAAAATTCCTATTTTCTTTTCTAGGTTTGGAGCTCAGAAGTCCACTGTGTGGCTACATGACTTTCACATGCAATGCCGGAAGGGACGGGATCAGAACCTTTGTTGTCATGATTTGTAACTACACAAAACACAATCAGCCCTAATAGGAAAACACAATAAACGTCTATGTGTCCTGAGTTACACCCGACAGTTCCTTCCTTCTACTGAGAGGTTACACATCAGGGTGTGCACATGACACTTGCTCAACCAATCCGGAACATATTTGGTAACTTTAGTGTATGTTATGCAAATAGTGTTTTGTTTTTTTTACTTTCAAATCGAGTAGGGATTGGTTAAAGCGCACAATCTGTTAGATTGCAATGTGTATGGAGAGTTTAGGTCCATCATTTTTTTTTTCATAGCCATGACCCATTGGTGAGATTTCCTTTTATTTCCTGTCCCAGAGACACAGCAGGAAGTAAGGGAAGATTATTCTAAAGAGACTTCATTGCAGAGAAATCACTTCTGTAGTCGGCTGAGAAAGCAACACTTCAGGGGCTGATGATCTCTTGTGTTCCCTCCCACCGGCCTCTATGTCACCACTAATTCACAGTCGCGGATGCCCCTCTCGGTCCGCGTCCGTCCAGTTTTTTCCTCTATCTCACGATGGAAGTCAGATGTAAACGGACATGTATCCGTTTACATCAGATTACCCCCAATCCGGTACGATCGGGTCTGGTGAAACATCTCTGATCCGTTTGCTTTTCCGGACCTGGCCGGAGTCGGGGGTAGCCGGGTGTGAACGGACGTACGTCTGATTACACATGACTGACCACAGACTAGCACTATGCATCCAATGGGGTCCGCTTGAAAAATTGATAGGTGGACCTGATCGGACCTCCCGTGTGAAAGGGGCCTCACTCCGTATATCACGCTTTGGCAGCGACCCCCTCCCCCCTCCAAACGTGTCCACTACAGTCAATGAGACCGTGCTGTAACTGCGTGCCAACCACCCGCCCAGCCTTTCAGGATCCACCGTAGCTCTCTATCTCAGTAATCTTGTCCTGACATGTGACACAGAGAGCCCTCTGCCGGCTCCTCACCAGACACATAAACTTGTACAGTCAGCCAAGCCAAGCATACAAGAGGCGATCACCAGCTCCTAGTACTTTTGCAATGTCTTTATTGAAGTGTCACACCTCAGCGTGTTGCACGGCATTGTGCTGTACCGTGTAAAAACGCAGACATGTAGTTCATGGCACTTCAATGCAGCTTCAAGCCCGTGACACACTGCACGCAAAGCCGTGCAGAGCGAAGCAAAGCTGTCCGGCACGGAGCTTTGCGTGCAGTGTGTTGAGCTGAGTGCAGGCAGATGATTGACTGCACCCTCCGCCAATCGGCTCGTGCGTAACAACCAGCCAGATGTCGCGTTTATACGCGCGAGCAGATTGGCTGAAGATTACATTTTTCATCTCGCCGCGCTCAGCTATGTGAGCTCTCGCAAGCTGACGTCCCGGGGAGAAAATTACATGACACACTGCTCGCGGAGGCAGCGCGCCGCTGCTTCGCGTGCAGTGTCACAGTCTTCATGGTGTTAACAGGGCACATAGACAACAATTGCCTTTGTTGTACGCTGCAGATCGATGCACCCGATGTGAATGAGCCTTAGGCTTGGTTCACACTGTTGCGCTGTGGCAAAGCGTGCACTAGAGTGAATATTACCAAATCTCGAAAAAATAGCATGTTTTGCACTTTGATGCGCTGCCATTCATTCATATCACCACAACCCACCTTACCAACAGGCATGTGCTGCAGGGCACAGTAACACAGGACTAGACAATCTCGACACTGCAGCTGTTGTGGAACTACAAGTCCCATGAGGCACTGCAAGACTCTGATAAGACAAAGGCATGACTCCCAGAGGCAAAGGCTTCATGGGATTTGTAGTTTCACCATAGCTGGAGTTCCAAGGTTGCCTACCCCTACACTAACATATTGTAGTGCTCAAAGTTAGAAAAATAGTACATGCACTTTGTGTGATTTGGTGCAAATGAATGCACTGCCTTACCGCAACACATGTTAACGTACGGAAAAACATGCATGCGTTATCGGAGCACTACAGTACGAAACATGACTACTACATGTGTCTATGGCTGCAATGTAACCGAGTATGGGAGAGCACATGAGCTCTGATGTCAGGACACAGTCAGTACAGGAAGCAGCGCTCTGGTCAGTAAACACAGCATGGCACTGGCCGCACACACAGCCCCTCACCCGTCCATCACATCCAGGTGCAGGTAGTCAGCCCCGCTCTGCAGCATACGGTCACATTCCGCCGCCAGACGGGACAGATCGCTGTTCAGGATGGACGGACCAATCTTGCAGCCGGACGACATGATGAAAATGTGGTCACTGGTGGCAGCGCCGTAAGGACCCGCCCATGTGTGCAGGGGCGGCGCACGGCATCATGGGAGGTGTAGTTCAGCGCGCCTCAGAGAAGCTGAGCATCAATTTCCCGACATGCCTCGCTGTACTCGCGCAGTGGACGCACAGGTCCGAAAAGCTGCAGATATATGTCCACTGTGGCAATGACTGTATAATCATTCCTCAATGTACATTTACAAACAGTCTACCTCCTGGTCTCGACCTTAACCACTTTGTTACCACAGCAATTTATTAATTTTTTGCACATACTGTAAAAATCTGAGTTTATGGCTCAGAGCTGTTTAACATCTCGCAAACAATAACATATTTTCGGAAAGCAGAGGCCCTGTGCAATAAAACAAAAAGGTTGTCACAATTTTAATGCTTCACAATATTTGCGCAAATGTTTACTGAATCAATATTTTTATTTCAAAACATACACAAGTGAATCAAACAATATAATACCCATTTTTTTGGTAAAATATAAAAGATGGGTTTGTGTCAGGTAAATAGATGCAAAACATGTCAACCCTTAAAATTATGCACACCTGCGAAATGACAAGAAACTACAATACCAAAATTGCCCATAGGTGATGCTTTAAAGGAGAACTATGAGGTGAGTGCTTTTCACTCACCTCATAGTTCTAGCCGACCGGTGACAATGAGACTGTCACAGGTCGGCTAAGTAGACACATACCGGCGTTCGCTCACCTCTCGATCCTGTCACGACTCTCTGCCGTGACAGGGGAGGGGCTGGATTCCCCCCTCCCCGCTCCGATCCGCCAGTGCTGACTGGCGGAACGGACGGGGGAGGGGGCGGGTACAGCTGGCTCTGCCTCTAGATAGGCAGAGCCAGCTGTCAGTCACGCAACTGGGCGGATCCCGGCACAATTGTCAGGATCTGCTTCAGCTGCGGCGTCTCAGTATACCACGAGCAGCTGCACACTAAGCCTAGGGTGACGGGAGGACGCTAGTTTGTGTCCTCCCGTTACCCTAAGGAGAACTATGGGGTAAAGACTTAAACCCATAGTTCTCCTTAAAAAGCTCTTAGGCCCCATTCACACGTAGCGATTTTGCTTTTTTCTAATGGAGCCGGACGGAGAAGGTCGCGCTACCGTCGCTGGATCGTCACTGGAACATCGCCCCGAAAGTCGCGCTAGCCCGGCCGCTGCAAAAGGTATGTCGCTACGTGTGAATGGGGCCCAAGGCCCCATTCACACCTAGTGATGTGTGGATGTGCGTGTTCATGCATGTTCACGTGTGTTATTGATGTTGTTGCTGTGCATCAGCCCATTGAATCAGCTGCAAGGGTTCTGTGTTTTTTCCCGCACCTTTGTGAGCAATAATCGTGCGTACATGGGAAAAAAGCACTCATTTTACTGGCCACGTCTGAGGTGCCATTAACAAGTAATGGCACCACATGTACGTTGCACATTTTGAACACGTTATGTGGACAGGCACCAATGTGTGATCGGCAGGGATCCCAACCTGAAAGAAGCAATTTCAGGGACGTGTCCCTCTCATTTCAGGGAGGTGCCCTCTTTCCCCCCCCCCCATCCATGGAGGGGGGGTTAGGGGGGGCTGGGAGAGAGCACCCCCCTGATGGCAGATAGCACAGGAAAAAATAGCTTCTTTACTATCTGCAGGCTTTTTTTTTTTTTTTTAGTATTCTGACAGTTGCAGTCGTCAGAATAAAAAAATAAAAAAGGCATAAGAATGCATAGGTAGATTCCTATTGGCTACTTCACTTGGCAATAGCCAATAGCAAACTAGCTATTGCACACGCCCTCTGCTGCTTTCAATCACCAGAAAAGGACCTGATAGAAAAATTCAGGTCCCCCTCTGCTGATTGACAGCAGCATTGGGCGGGTGCATTAGCTAGTTTGCTATTGGCTATTGCAAAGTGAAATAGCCAATAGGAATCTAGCTATGCAATCGTATGCCTTTTTTTTTCTTTTCTGACTGACGGTCAGGCCGCCGCTCCCAATGTCAGAACAGAAAAAAAAAAGATCGCAGGGAAAGGCTTAATCTACTCGATCGAGCAGATAAACCTTTCCGGGAGGAAGTGTTTCTCTCCCGGGCGGCCAGAAGCCGATATCTAATAGCGGGAGACTCCCGGAGCATCCGGGAGAGTTGGGATGTCTGGATCGGGGACTTACTGCTCATTACTACAGAGTAACAGTGAGCGATGGCCCTACAATTGCTCTCCAAAGTTTACGGCAATATGTAACATGTGTGGTGCAATTGTCGTTTTTGCGTTTTTATATGTGTGTACATGCAGGTGAGGGGCTCTAAAGATTCTTTTTGGGGGTTTTTTCATGTCATTTAAATGTTTTTAACTTTTTTGACACTTAACTTTATTGCTATCACATAGAGGGCTAACATTTTAGCTCAACTACACTTGGATTTCTCAATTTGGGTGAGCCCCATTTCTTGGGGGGACCCCTGAGTTGTGGAAAACGGCCGAAGCCATCAGGCTCAAACAATGACTTCTCTGCTTGCTGAAGATTTGCATTCAGCTTTGAGCAATAAAGACTTGAGAAAGGTTCTAACCTCTCATCGCTCTATCTAAAACTGAAAAATAAAGTTTTGGCTTTGGATACACATTGAGGCAATAACATGTGACCTGCTCAGCACAGCTGCCTCAGGTCTCCTTTGCTGTCATTCCAAGCATGACAAATACTTCAAGTCCCCTTCCTGGCCCAGCTGCCAATGCGTCTCAATGGATCTAAAATCAAACCTACATCATTTTTACAGATGCAGCGCACCGCAATGCACAGAAATGTACTATAATAAATGGCACTGCAGTGCACTGTGCTATGTGAGTTGCATTAACATGTGTTGCCATGCATTACAGAAACTAGGATGTCCCGATACCATTTTTTCAGGACCAAGTACAAGTACTTTCCCTCCGCTACCAATTACAGATACTTTTTTTTAAAGGGACATGTGACGTTTTTTCTAAAACAATACAGACTAATGATTTTAGGGCAGTTTCTCATCAGGCTTGTGTACAGATCTCACCAGAGCTGTGTACGGATCTCACCAGAGCTGCGTACGGTTCTCAACAGGCTACCTACAGATCTCACCAGAGCTGCGTACAGATCTCACCAGAGCTGCGTACAGATCTCACCAGAGCTGCCTACAGATCTCACCAGGCTGAATACAGATCTCACCAGGCTGAATACAGATCTCCCCAGACGGAATACAGATCTCACCAGGCTGAATACAGATCTCACCAGGCTGCGTACAGATCTCACCAGGCTGAATACAGATCTCACCAGGCTGAATACAGATCACACCAGACGGAATACAGATCTCACCAGAGCTGCGTACAGATCTCACCAGGCTGAATACAGATCTCACCAGGCTGAATACAGATCTCACCAGGCTGAATACAGATCTCACCAGAGCTGCGTACAGATCTCACCAGGCTGAATACAGATCACACCAGGCTGAATACAGATCACACCAGGCGGAATACAGATCTCACTAGAGCTGCGTACAGATCTCACCAGGCTGAATACAGATCTCACCAGGCTGCGTACAGATCTCACCAGGCTGAATACAGATCTCACCAGGCTGAATACAGATCACACCAGGCGGAATACAGATCTCACCAGAGCAGGAGATATACCGGAGATATGGGTCCGGGCAGGCACTTTCAAAGACAGCTACTGCCAGGTCCCCACCAGGCTGCCTGAGGTTCCCACAAGCGCAGGACCTTGGGCAGCCGATCCAGTGTAAAAATGTAAAGGGTTGGTATCGGCCTTTAGTATCGGGGCATTGTCCCAAGTACAAGTACTCTGGAAATGCCCTGTATCAGCCCCTAGCAGAAACGTGTTACCACAATGCATATGCAGTGTGTAAATCCAGCCCTGTTTTGTGCTTAGCTTTGGTTGTGAGATTTTTCTTGGTGTCTTGTACATTCTTTCACACACTTCATTTTCCTTCCTTCTCCTCCTCTTTCTTCTACCCAAGAAATTGGTTAAATAAATTGAATAATTGGATATTTTTTTTTAATGAATTACTTTTTATATTTACCGGTATTCCACAATGCACATACCCGGTCTATGCCTTTTCATCAAGCCACTAGCAACCATCTGCTGCTTCTCATCTGCTGGGTAGCAACCAATGAGGATCAGCCACACACCATCTTTGGGACCTGTGCACAAAACAGGCTTTGCAACAAATTCATAAAATGTTTCTGACATGTACATGAATTTGTCACATTCAGGGACATTTGTTGTATGGTGGCGCAGTCACTCTTTTAAAGAGTGCATGCACCAGTCTTTTTGAATTCCAGAGACTGTGCTCCTGTGGACCTGTCCACCTATACAGGGTCTTGCTAGAATAAGCTGGCAGCAAGATCTTGCCAAAAAGTGTTCTGTATGCATTTAATGCTTTTGCAACATAACATTTGTACACTGTATAGCCCAAAGGTGCCCTATTTGTTGCTAGTGCACTAGGTGGCCAAAGCCACTTGCACCCTAGCAACAAAAGACACCAGACGACTTGAGCCAGCTGCATTCTAGCAAAGCACGACCCTAGGCCACTCCTGCTGCCTAATATCATTTGTTGCAAGGATGCAGGCAGCTCCATACAGTGCACTTTCCCTGTACCCATGTTAATGTTAGCACAGACATTACCAGCGTAAAATACAGTCCCATGCATGGCCTCTGGTGCAGAATTCTCTCTTTTTTATGGATTTTTACTCTATTTACGGATCTGAACACAGCGCTAGTTTACTGATCTTTATACACTGTTTGCATGGGCCCATAGAAAACAATACATCTGCATTCAGACAGAAATCCTCTCTACTAATAACAATGCAGCGTTTGTGGCAGTTGTCTGCATGAGCCTTTAATGAATATGTATTTCAGGTTCAGAAATACCCCTGTTGAAAATATTTTGACAGCCACAACATTTTAAAATAAATATTTATTTTTTATACAGCACATAGAGCATATACTGTATGTGAAAACATTTATGGATGTGTAACTTCTTTCCGAAAGACATTTGGCAAAAAGTATCATTGTGAATCTCCAGTAGTAACTTCTGCAAAGGAATTATGTCAAGAGTTAAATTCTGTATTGTCTCAGTAAGAAGACATGCAGACTTTCATTTATATAAGGCAGCAAAACACAAAGATGATGTGCAAAGTGCAGAGACCCATAGCAGCTGGTCAGTGTTTAGTTTACTAGAGACAGAGTAGTAAAAGCTAAGCCTG